ACCTGTTTTCCAGGTCAGGAGTACAGAATGTACAACACATATGATGTGCACTTCTACGCCTCTTTTGCACTTATCATGCTGTGGCCCAAACTTGCCTTGAGTTTGCAGTACGACATTGGTGAGTGTAGTGTGCATTTTTATCTGTGGTCTTAAGCTTGTGTGTTTCATAAAGAGCCATCCTAAGACCTAGTTTTACAGCATTACCCTCTTCTCAGCTGGCAGTGTGGTTCAGCAAGACCTCACGGAGAGACTCCACCTAATGAGCGGACAGTATTCTCCCATCAAAACCAAAAATGTGGTGCCTCATGACATCGGAGACCCAGGTATGACAAAAGCAAAAACCTTACTTACATTTTATTTCCAACAAAGGCCTGTTGGAAGCAGCATGTCTATGAAATGGAATGTAGAGAGGTGTGCAACACACTTTATTTATTAAATATGACACCCGACGATGTCACAGTCATGTTGTAACCGGATGATATTGTTGTATTGTATTAAAATAATCTTAAATACCAGAGTTTTAGTATACACCTTCCTTGCCCTTTGCGGGGAGTTGCAGTCTTTGAGTGCTCTTGTTAAAAAAAATAAATAAAAGATTGATGGCTGGAGTACCTTTTAGGCAGTTATTTTTCACTTCAGCCCTTAGCAGAATTAAAATCATCTTCCTGACACTTTCTATTATCGTTTCTTGAAACTTTTTTCTTTAGATGACGAGCCCTGGGTGAGGGTGAATGCCTACCTCATTCATGACACCGCACACTGGAAGGACCTGAACCTGAAGTTTGTCCTGCAGGTATACAGGGACTTTCATCTTACCCAGGACAGGCAATACCTCCAGGACATGTGGCCCATCTGCCAGGTATAACTGGTGACACATTCTTAATTACACTGACTGCGAAGGATAAATCATTTTAGACATCACATACAAAGGTGGATGTATATTTAATTTTTTTGTTTATCTATTAGGCAGTGATGGAGTCCGAGTTGAAATTTGACCTGGATGGAGATGGCCTAATAGAGAACTCTGGATATGCTGACCAGACCTATGATGGCTGGATAGTGACTGGACCAAGGTGAGAGTTGGACAATTAAAGTCATGTCAATTCAGTTTTATTTTTATTACATAATGCCAAATCACAAAAACAGGCACCTCAAAATGTTGAATATTTTAAGGTAAAGACCATGCAGTAATAGAGAGAAACCACCAATGAGCAGATGACCCACTTTGAGCAACCACTTGGTGACAAATGAAAAGGGGAGGCAAAAAATCTTTTAACAGGAAGAAATCTCCATAAGAACCAGGCTCAGGGAGGGCAGCCATCTGCTGTAAGCAGTTAGCAATGAGAGGAGGGAGACGAGACAAAAGACACACTGTGGAAGACAGTCAGAGATGAATAATAACTAATGATTAAATGCTGAGTGATGTATAAACAGACAGAATGTCTTTATACACAAGTAAGAACACAGCAGCCCAGGCCTATTGCTGCATAATAGCATTATTGCACATGTGTATCACATCAATGATGTGTCTTTGTACTTGAAAACTGGGGGTCAGGGATGACCTGCGATGCAGAAGCTCCTCACAGATCTGAACAGACTTCATTTGAGCTGGAGAATAAGGTTGTTTTTATTTTTCACTTGCTAATTTTGTGCTTCAAGATGACACTGAAAGAAAGTAGGCAAAGTACTAAACACACATCAGATGTACTAGTCCATTTTTTTAAATCTTGAAAGTTGTTGATTTTTGTTTTGTTTTGCAAGATGAGTTCAGGAGTAGTAATTTTGAAATTTATACAGGCCAAACACTTAATTGGGTACACCACCAGCAACATGAACTGTTGATACAAGGCAAGATGGAGCTATCCTTCCATGCTGATTTTTTGTGTTTGTTTGTTTCAACATTTTTATTTTAAACTTTAGATGTAAACAAAACAAGAAAATCAACATTTATCAAACTTGTATTTCATTCTGTACCTCAAGTTTCAGAAAGCCAGCTGGTGAAAGGAGACCAAATACAGTTATACTGATAAAGTTTGTCTAATAGACCATGAGTCACTTTTTCGTAGGATGTTTAACCAACGTCATTAACCATTCTTCAAAGGAAGGGGGCACTTTTCCTGGTCTTTCCTGGTCTTAGCAAGACCCGTTTAGCCTTGGTAAGAGGCAGGATGATGCTTTTTTTTATATGGGGGGAGAAGTCGCAGTCAGAATGTTCTATGGTTATACTAACCATGGAAAGTTTTGGTGAGAGGCGAAATGTTCTTTTCAGAACACTGAAAATGACCTCCAGGATATTTTCCCACCAGTCCCAAAGTGCTGGATAGCTCCATAGAATATGTAGAATCAAGGCACTCTGGCCATCACATCTCCAGCAATTGTCCATAGGAATCAAGGTTCATTTGTGCAACTGTTGCAGTGTTCAATACCACCTGTGGATTATCTTTAACTGGATGAATCTGCTGCCTATCTCCTTATACATGGTAATAATATTATGAAGACATGACTCCCATTCAGCTGGAGAAATGTCCACTGCCAGATCTTGGGCCTAGCAACCTTTAACGTTGGAAAGAGGGTCAGCTATCTGATCTTGCATTAAATGGTAGATCTTAGGGGTAATACCTTTACCAAAGGGTGATCTTGAAAGCAGTGCCTCCACAGGGCTGCCCGCAGGGCAACTCCTGGGACTTCCCAGCTATTTCAATAAAGAACTGCACATTTGGACATATCTCCAGAATCAATTGTGCTCCAAATTTTATATAGCTCAACAATCTGATTGAAGCCCAGGAAATGTTTTGTTCTGCAATAAAATAAATGTGATACATAGAGGATGCCTGCCTTCCATGCTTTTTACACCAAATTCAGAGCCTGCCATCTGAATGTTGCAACAGAAATTGAGACTACTCAGACCAGGTTTCTCTTGTATACCATCAGTAATTTAAGCATATTCGTAATAATTTGGCTTTTAATCAAATATAGTGAGAATAAAATTTAGAGACACATATTTTGGCTTTACATGCAAAGGTTTTGGGTAAATCTAAGTACTGAATCAGACTTGATAACCAGATTTTTCTTTTATGTGGTCCAAAGTAGTTTGCATCTAACAAAGAAGTAATATTAGTAAAAAAATATTGACTCCAGTATAATTTTTTTTAATTTGTATTTTTAGTGCCTACTGTGGTGGTATGTGGGTGGCATCGCTCTGTGTGATGTGTAAAATGGCCAGACTGTTGGACAGCGAGGAGTTGTACCGTCACTACAAAGACCTGTTGGACAGAGGCAGTGCTGCTTTTGAGAAACTACTGTGGAACGGTGAGTCCAAACAATGTAGTCCTGACTTAAAACGTAATTCTTATGTTTTGGTCAGTGATGATGATAAAATGCACAAACAAATGCTTATTCTTAGGCTGGTAATAAAAAGTAATGTGTGGCTGGTATTCAAAGATGTCACATCTGTCTTTAGCTATTTTTAAATAATGTTTGACAGTGGACTGCTTGAAGACCTAAAGTGACTTCCCTTTTTGTTTCTCATCCCATCAAACACAGGCAAATACTACAACTATGACAGCAGTGGGAGAGATCTTTCTAACAGTGTCATGTCGGACCAGTGTGCTGGCCACTGGTTCCTGAGAGCATCTGGGCTGGGAGACGGAGAATTTCAGGCAAGTCTTTTATTGAGCTAGCATTAGTGTTCAGTTCAAGAGTGGTGCTTGTAAAGATGTGTTTATTATTTTATTGTTGTTTTGTGCTCTAGACTTTTGCAAGCTTAATGTGGGAGGAGCTAAATTGAAACATGTACACCAGAGTGGAGGAAATCTTTCCTAATCCTTCTGGAAAAATCACACCTTGCTAGAAACTGTTGTTAAAGTAAAGCTCATTCAGAGTTTAAAAATGTTCAAACTTCATTTCCAAGCCACTTTATACTGGAGAAACCCCCAACAATCAAACGAATCTCTGTGGTAACAGTGGGAAGGAAAAACTCCCATTTAACAGGACGAAACCTCCACCAGAACCAGGCTCACGATGAAATATTTCATCACTCATCCTAGTGATTTCTCCCACTAAAAACTCTACATTTAGATGAATAGAATCAACTTTCAGTTTTCTATTCAAGATTTTTTTTTTTAATCTTAATATTTTAAATTCCATTCTGAATTTAACAGGATGCCATGAAGAGAAGCTATTATGGGAGGAATGTCTTTTTATGTCCGGAAGATTGAAGGGAACGCTTGGTTTTTGACATTAAATGACTAGGCCTAAGTTTGACACATTTTGTAGCTGAAAAGCCACAACAGCTCTGACTTTACATTATTGATTTAAACTATCAAAAGATGTTGGGTTTTTTTTAATGGTTTCTTTTTTTAATTGTAATGCCTGCACTGTACTAACTCCCTAAAAACGAATTAAAAATAAGTACAATTGCAAATAAATAAAACATAATATCATGTCTTTTCTGTCTGCGGGACTCCAGAATACATGTATGTTACTCGAGGAATGTTTCTGAAGGAAGTTATATGGGTTAATCATTGCTTCTTCTCTTCTTTTAGGCCTTTCCAAAAGAAAAGATCCAAAGTGCACTAAAATCTGTGTTTGACTTGAATGTAATGAGCTTTGCTGGAGGCCAGATGGGGGCAGTCAATGGCATGCGCCCTGAAGGAATCCCTGATCGCTCCAGTGTTCAGTCTGATGAAGTGTGGATTGGAGTTGTATACGGTCTGGCAGCCACAATGATCCATGAGGTATGATCGATCTATCAATCGTCATCTTTTCTCTTTTTCTTATATCATTTTTTTAAAAGCAGCATTTTCAAAATGTCACTCTGGGTCATGGATACACTGGACAGTTGTTCAGTCAGCAGGGATCATATGTACCTACACGTTTGATTTGTTGGATTTTTATGCTGGATGCCCTTCCTGATGCAACCTCCAAAGGGATTTGTCTCCTCCTGGGATCAAACCAGGGATCTTTTGCTTGTTAGGTGAATGTGTATACCAGCTCAAAATAACTAATAAAATAAAATATTCATATAGTGACGATCACAAAATACATAAATTCTTTTTTTTTGTTTCTTTTTGTTTCTTTCTTTTTTCTTTTTTTCCCCAACAAAACACGTGAAGTGCTTTTTTTCTTGCTTTTATAAGAAGCTAAGGAGTTACTGGAATTGATAAACGGGTTTCTGTTAAAGCAGAAACCTGTTTATGTTATGGAATACTTTTTGATTCATGTGATTGTTTCCTGATTTCTAATGCAGTCTTTTTACTTAAATCTCAGCAAAGAGGCAATTAAGTGTCTTCTATGAAAATGTCTCAGTTACACAGGCCTAAAGACTGGTCGGCAACCCCCTGGCAACCGCTAGTCACTAGAGCGATTGCTGGAGGGACCGTGGAAGTGGTGTTGTTGTTGTTGTTGATTTTTGTAGCCATTTAAAAAAATTGTGGTTTTGATTTTTGTGGCATGGAGTCTGACAACATCACATGTTGTCATGTTGTTCTACCTGCTCGGATTGCTTAGAATCCTGTCTGAGCAGGTACTATTTTTGTACCTGGTACCAGGTACTATCACCTAATGGAAAACCCTTAAAACTGTGGCAACCTGTGCCAAGTCGATCCAAGTGAGTGCTAATGAAAAAGGGGCTTTAGTTTCACTCCTGCTCAGTGTGTGTTTTCAGATATGTTGGTGCCTTTCTCAGGCAACCGTGAAAATCTGCTAGAGGCCAGAGCAATCATTAGGTTTTTGTTGCAGGGCCCTTTTTGTGACCATACCCAGCAACCAATAGCCATCCACTCAGGAGATGGTGATTTACATAGTGACAAGAGGTTGCCCATCAGTTTCTAGCCATGTGTGACTGAGGTACAAGCTGCACAATTAACATTTACTACCCTAAAAGTGACTTGATAATACTTGACAGTGTGGGTGTTTCTAAAGTTGTGGAGATATTGTGATCCTGAATTAAACACTACCTCAAGCCTGCAACTATTTGCCTTTTCTTCAGGGAATGCAGGAGGAAGGTATGCGTACAGCGGAGGGCTGCTACCGGACGGTGTGGGAGAAGCTGGGCATGGCCTTTCAGACCCCAGAAGCCTACTGTGAGAAGAATATCTATCGTTCTCTAGCCTACATGAGGCCTCTGAGCATTTGGGCCATGCAGCTCGCCCTGAACACTTCACAGAAGGATCAGACCACAACAGCTTAGACTGGAGTCACATACTGAACTAAGACCCGAGTCATTACAGGAGGGAACAGGAGTTCCTAGAAACTCCGCTGTAGCCACCACTTTGATCTGGACTGACACTTTGAGGTGCTGTTTAACTGTTTACAGACCCAGAATTAAATTTTCCCAAGTTTGTTTCACTGTAAATGTTTGAGGCTATGGTACCGGATTGTACATTTTCCTCTACAAAGACAGTAGGTGTGAAATAGTGATCATATTGTTAGGCAAGCACATTTGATTTTCTTTCTGTGTATGAAGTGTTAGCCAGGTAATAGCAAAAAATAAATGAATAAATCATAGCCTGTGTCTATTAAACAAATTACTTTGTTACAGAACATCAAAATACTGTTTGCATACACATAAAAAAGCAAACACTACACTTCGCTGTTCACAGTCATGGCTATAATACCTGCAACATGTTTATTATATGATTTTCTTTATCCCCTCCCTTCATCCCAACTTGATTGCTGTAGTAAGTGGTGTAATTTTTGATGAGTGGTTTTGGAGATTAAGCCTGTAGTGAAAAAAAAATTATATATATATATATCTTTTTTATATAGAATTTGGTGCATTCTTGTATGTTGACCAACTATATCTACAGTATATAAATGTGGCAGCAAAATTTTCCGTTTTGTAAAAATAGAATATTCATGACAATCATGCTGAATAAATGACTGAATAACATGCAAGGAGATATTTGTTTTCCTTTTAATTAAGTATAGTTGGGTATATCTTTAAAACAGAATTATTTTTTTATTTATTTACATGTTTACTGAAACATCTTTTGATTAAAGCCTCTCACCTTTCGCTTCAAAGGACGCACATTTAAATTGGATGAAGTGTTTAGGTTGTTCAGCTCCTTAACATTTGGATGTTGTGGCGCAATCGGTTAGCGCTTTCGCTTGTTAACCGAAAGGTTGGTGGTTCAAGCCCACCCAGGGACGATATCACTATTATTGCCAGGTGATGCAGAACGCTGCACAAACGTGCAGTGCAACTACTTCCTCGGAAAGCACTGGTGTTGTTTCACAATAGCGTCCATGTACTTATTTTCCACCCTGATTTACGAATAAATTCTTTACAAATCCTACCATGTGGATTCATGGATTTTTTTTTTCACATTCTGTCTCTCACAGTTGAAGTGTACCTCTGGTGCAAATTACTGACCTCTGTCATCATTTTAGGTGGGGGAACTTGCACAATCGGTGGCTGACTAAATACTTTTTTGCCCCACTGTATAACACTTATGTTTGTTATACCATGTTTTAACCAAGCATGTTATAACCATGTTATAATCAACCAGTTATAATCAGGACGGTCATTTGATGAACGCAGTCAACCGTTCTATCAAGGGTGATATGCATCTTTCGGGTGGTGTTGTTCGTCCGCAACTGCATTCTTACTGCCAAGTTCATTACCCACCAGTCACATATTTTAAACAATCAGTCTCTGTGGCGCAATCGGTTAGCGCTTTCGCCTGTTAACCGAAAGGTTGGTGGTTCAAGCCCACCCAGGGACGTTATCACTGTTATTGTCAGGTATTGGAGAACGCTGCACAAACGTGCAGTGCAACTGTTATGTTGGTTATACCATGTTATAACCAACCATGTTATAACCAACCATGTTATAACCAACCATGTTACAACCATGTTATAAACATGTTATAACCAACCATGTTATAACCATGTTATAACCAACCATGTTACAACCGTGTTATAAACATGTTATAACCAACCATGTTATAACAACCATGTTATAACCAACCATGTTATAACCAACCATGTTATAACCAACCATGTTATAACCAACCATGTTATAACCATGTTATAATCAACCATGTTATAACCATGTTATAATCAACCAACCATGTTATAACCATGTTATAACCAAGCATGTTATAACCAAGCATGTTATAACCATGTTATAACCAACAATGTTATAACCAACAATGTTATAACCAACCAAGCAATCGGTTAGCGCGTTCAGCTGTTAACCGAAAGGTTGGTGGTTCAAGCCCGCCTAGGGACGTTATCACTGTTATTGTCAGGTATTGGAGAACGCTGCACAAACGTGCAGTGCAACTGTTATGTTGGTTATACCAGGTTATAACCAAGCATTTTATAACCATGTTTTAACCAACCATGTTATAACCAACCATGTTATTGCCATGTTATAACCAACCATATAACCATGTTATAACCAACCATGTTATAACCATGTTAAAACCAACCATGTTACAACCATGTTATAACCAACCATGTTACAACCATGTTATAACCAACCATGTTACAACCATGTTATAACCATGTTATAACCAATGTTGGCATCTCCCAATTCTTTGAATCTTTGGGCTGAAGGAAGGACAGTAGTCGGTGTATAAATGCTCAATCAACAATCATTTATTTCCATACAATTCAACACAAAGAGCATTTAGAACCATCATGATGGGGAGACCTGCCTGCAGAGGGTCACAGCGAGTCTCGAAATGGTAACGTGTTACTCAGCTTCTTATAGCCGCTAGTGGCCCCCACCTAGTCGTAAAAGCCCAAACATTAACATTCTTTCTCTGTTACGGCGCCCAAGTTACGACCTCGGCTCCCTGTCTTTCTCTGCTCTCTGTAAAGGTGGGGGTATGGAATGTGGTCTATCTCCCCTGTCTTAGACACAGAGTCTCCTGCTTACAACCTTCTTTTTATGATTCAACAATAAAGCATGTCAAGAAAACAGTGTAATACATTCAACAATAAAGCATGTCAAGAAAACAGTGTAATACATTCACAGCAGAGCAAGGATACAGAGTGATGCACACTTATCTAATAAACTAATAAGTGAATATGTTCTTTCAACTCAAAAGTATAATGAGAACTAAACTACATACACAGCACACCATCTAAACTAAAGGATAATATATGACCTACAGCAGTTAACATAATTCAACTACTTTAACTACATATATAAGATAACATATAATAACAGAATAATCTAATACCAACCATGTTATAACCAACCATGTTATAACCATGTTATAACTAACTGTGTTATAACCATGTTATAACCAACCATGTTATAACCAACCATGTTATAACCAACCATGTTATAACAATCATGTTATAACCATGTTATAACCAACCATGTTATAACCAACCATGTTATAACCATGTTATAACCAACCATGTTATTACCATGTTCTAACCAACCATGTTATTACCATGTTCTAACCAACCATGTTATTATCATGTTATAACCAACCATGTTATAACCATGTTATAACCAACGATGTTATAACCAGCCATGTTATAACCAGCCATGTTATAACCAACCATGTTATAAGCATGTTATAACCATGTTCCTCCTTCCAGAAGCTTTATGGCGTCTTCTCGGAGACCTTTAGACAAGGCTGCGTCCCATGTGTCTTTGAGGCAGCGCTTTACTTTTGCACATATAGGCCGGAGACTTGGCTTAGCAGTTCTCGCCTGGTGAGTGGATCAG